GGCTCTGGTGGCCAGTCATCGTCCTCACCCAGGGTCCTCAGCTGGCCTAACTACCATTGTGCTGAGCAGGACAAGGCTTGGGCCAGACTCCAGGTAGACATGGGGGTACCTTAACTTTGGACATGATTAGAAGCAGGTTGGGCCCCTCACAAACCCCTAAAACCTGCCCTGATTCCTTTTTCCTTGTTTTAAAAGAATCACACAAATAGCGCATAATCATATCCTAAGAGTTAAGTGATTCAAAAATAGAGAAACTATAAAAAGCCCTCTTTACCACTCCCAACTCCACCATCCCCTCCCGCTCCCCTTGCCCTCCCCTCCCCAGAAGTAACCACTCTGAACAGTTTGGGCTGTTGGGGGAGCCCAGAATAGTGGATAAAGAGTGGGGGCTGTGAAGCAGGTTGCCCGATTCAAATCTTCATTCTTTTGCTTATCAGCTGTGAAACCTTGGGCAAATTACTTCACCTCTCTGTGTGTCTCTGTTTCTTTCTGAAAATTGGGGGCAATAATAATAGTCACCTCGTACAGCTGTTGTGAAGAATAGATGAGTTAATTTTTGAAAAGCACATAGACCAGCCCTGATCCATGGCAAGCATTCAAGAAGTATTCTGATCCTTCTAATCTTTTCTACACATTTACCCATTTCCTGCCTAAATGGCCTAAGGCTGTACATTTTATTCTGCAGTTTGCTTTTTCCACTCAATGCTATATCTTTGAGGTCTTTTTTTGCTATATAAGAGACTTTCCTGTTCTGGAGCTTTCTTTTTCTTTGTCCGTCTCTTAGGGAATCCAGTGATTTCTCCTTATTTTCCCTCTCCCTCTGTCCACGTCTTCCCTCGGGAAAGCTTCTGACCAGCCTGTTCATACTGAAGTGTAAATGACTGATGAAGGAGGCCCGCACACAAGCTGGTATGAAACCAGCTCTGGCCCTGACCAGAGGAGCACATAGTTTTGGAAGGGAGCCTAGTATCCACCTATTATTGAGGGCCTAAGGGCCTGGTCTGGAGAATTCTTGCCCCTCTCCAGTCCCATGGAAAACATAGGAGGGGCTGACATTTCAGCTGAGAATTCTGCACACTTACTGTGTCTCCTTGAATCCTCACAACAACTCCGAGAGGAGGTGATGCTACTGGATCCATTTTACCAAGGAGAAAACCAAGGCACAGAAAGGTTAAGTGGCTTTCCTAAAGTCACCCAACCAGTGTGGGCAGAGCGGGGACTTCGGCCTCATTGATAGACTGTGAAACTTATTTTGGTCACAACTAAGCTAGAACCCAGACTCAGAGCAGAGCTAGAGTCTGGTGGGAGGTTCTGGGTAAACAGCAGTAGGAAACAGCCTGTAGGTTCTGAGAGAGCAGATGTGGGTTGGTTGTCACTGGCTGAAACTTCAGCCCCTGCTACATTTTCCATGGGACTGGGCAGAGGCAGGAATTCTCTGGGGCATCAGACCCCCTGCTCCCCTCAGGAGAAGGGCATTCCCTGGGGGTGGGGGCATGGGAGGAGTCTCTTCAAGGAAACACCCCAGACCCAGGATCTGCACGTAGTGGACACCCAGGCTCCTGGTGTTCCTGAGGACAAGCATGTCGGGTCCCCTCCAGGCCTGGTGGGTCTGGAGGTCAGATGGTAGGCAGGGGTCCAGGGGCATTCTGGTTCTCCTGTGTCCCTCCTCTCAGTTCTTTTTGCCCAGACCAGGCATTGGGGGAAGGCTTTGAGTGGCCTCTCAGGCTTTGAGAGTGAGCAGATGTGCTTGGGGGTTCGGGGGGTGGGGTATGGGTGCCCAGGGTCTCTCCTGGACCACCTTGTCTGCCCTCGGATCCCCTCAGGTCCTTCCCTCAATCCCACATCCATCCCATGTAGGCCGGGGGCTCCAGGGGAGGAGGGTGGGACTTAGTGGGAAAAGCAGCTCTGTGACAGCTTTGATAGTGGGGGTGGGGGCTGGGAAAGCCTCGCTCTGCCACCACTCGAGCCACCCTCTGTCAGACGACGGCGGACAGGCTAAGGCTACCCACAGTCTTCGGTCACAAACCCCTTGCCGTTCGCAATCTCTGGTATCCTCTCCCAGGAGGCTCGCACAGACCCCGCGGGTGGTGGGGCAGGAAGTCCTGAGTCCGTCTTACAAATAAGCAAATCGAGGTTGTCGCAGCCAGTGCAGGGCTGAGCAGGGCCCAGCCCAGGTTCTTGTGGCAGAATCAGCTCTAGCCCAGCCCTTTGTCAGAGAAACAAGGGGCTCGTTCTCCCCTAGTTCTCCCTGTACCGGCTGGCACTGCCAGGCCCGGTCCCCTCTCCCCCCGCCAGGGGCCAACTGAAGTGAGATTGTTCCTGAGGTGAAGGGGTCCCCAGCGCCGCTGTGTGAGTGTGTGGATGCGTCTGTGAGGAGAGATGGCTGGGCTGGGGTCAGAGCATATGGGGTCCGGTGTGGAAGGTGGGCAGTGGGGGTCAAAGACAGGCTGCCCCTCTGTAGGGGAACAGGAAAGGGGTGGAGGCTGCAGCTGTGTCCCTGCTACAGGACAGAGAAGGGGGCAGAAGGGAGGTGTCTGTCCTTCTTTCCTTGAAGTCTGTGCTATAGGGAGCTGGGCAGAGACCCCTGGGGCTGAGGCAGCCCCGTTACTCATCCTTGGTCTAGCAGGGCAGCAAAGGGAGGAAGGAGGTGAGGGAGAGCCACAGAGTGCTCAGACCTCAAGGCAGACGTTGCTGTCCCACTGCGGTGGTAGATGGAGCCCTGGGTCGGGGGTCAGCTGGCTTGGCCTCCGTTCCTGGCCCTGGATCAATCAGACATGCAACCTGGGACAAGCTCCTTCTCAGCTCTGCATGGAGACGTGGTGGTCTCTGGACCCTCTCCCTACCTCGCCCCAGCATGGCCTGGTGAGCCAGATGCCCCGGGATTTTGTCCCAGCTTCTGTCCCCATCGCTGCAAGATACTTAACCTCCCTGTGCCTCTGTTTCTTCTTATCTGTAAAAGGAGAATGACCAAAACTACCTCATGTTTCAGGTTAAAGTGCTCGGAACAGTGCCCAGCACACAGTAAATGCTTAAATAGATGCAGATTATGATTACTTCCATGATCTGGTGATTTTCATTGAATCTTTGTCAGTACCTTCCACTAATGATTGGCATTCGGCAGAACATGTCAGCTTGTGCTGCTTTCCTTGGCTACTTGCACAGGTCTGAGTCTAATTCTCAGGACCCTTGGGTGCAGCTCTGGCCTCTGGTCTACACTGAAGCTGACTCTGTCAGTCCGTGCTTATCCATTACTCACCCACTCAGCCTACCAAATGTCATGTGCTGCACAAGACACATTATTTCTATTTAATGCTCTCAGAATCTTCTGAAGTAGAAACTGTTTACAGATGAGAAAACTAGTCCTCACAGAAGTTAAGTGATTCGCCCAAGGGCACACAGCAAAGAAGTGGCAGAGCTGGGATTCAAGTCCAGGCCTGCCCTGTTGATAGCATTTGCTCAACCACAGAGTCATGCTGCCTCTTGGAATATCCTTGAGATGGGACCCTCCAGCCCCTGCCAGGACCTGTATGGAGTCTGAGCACCCCTAGGGACCTTACATTTTTTAGAAAGTCTCAGCCCAATCCAGCTAGGAGAGACTTTAGCAATCACCTGGTCCAGCCTTATCATTTTGTATATGGGAAGATGGAGGCTCAGAGAGGGGAAGGGATGTACCCAGGGTCACTTAGTAAGCGAGGGACAGTGTGGGCCCAGCTGCAGGACATAGTCTGCCCTGTCCTCTTCCAGACTAGATCTGGGGGCTTTAGTCCCCCTGTCCCACTGAGACCCATCGAAGATCAGGGCTGATGTACGGGGTGGTAGGAAGCCCGCCCTGGGCCCTGGCAGCATCAGGTGCCCTGAAGCGGGCCTCCCCGCACAGACTTGTAGTAGCCTGAGGACTTGTCTCTGTCTTCCTGGACTGTAGACCCCACAAGCTCAGGGACACAGTAAGCTTAATGTTGTATGGCTAGCGCCTGGTTCATAAGCGGTAAACGTTCCTTGCATATGTTCACAGAACATCTACCCGTCTCAGGCCCCGAGCTAGAGGCCAAAGGGATGGCAGGAACAAGACAGACAAAATGCCTGCCCTCAGGGGAATTTGCATTCCCGGGGAGGAGGGGATAGATAATGAAAGAGCTAAGCAAAAATGCATAATATTTAAGATGTCGATCGGTGATATGGAAAAACATAAAAGAGGGAAGGGGTATTGGGAATGTTGGGGACCAGGTAGGGATTTTGCAGTTTTAAATAGCGTGGTCATGGAAGGTTTCTGTAAAGTGACGTTTGAGTTTTGGAGGAGATAAAGGGCATCCCAGGCAGAGGGAAAAGGGCAAGTGCAAAGGCCCTGAGGTGAGAGCGTGCCTGGAGGGTATGAGGGATTGGTGGTAGCCAGAGAGGGTGGACTGGGGGAGAGTACGCAGGGGGTGGAGTCAGAGGGGTCCACAGGGTGGGTACAGATCCTAGAGGCCCTCTTCTGGTAAGTACTTCGGCTTTTACTATGAGTGAAGTGGGAGCCATGGAGAGTTCTGAGCAGAGGGAGGGACAAGATCCCTCTAATTACTGAATTGTGAGTAGAATGTTGTAGGGCAAGAAAAGGGGGGCGGGTCTTAACATTAGGAGACTCATTCAGGAAGCCAGAAAGGGTCTGGTGGAGGCCGAATCCACTCTGGTGGCAGCAAGGTGGTAGCAGACAAGGATGTATCTGAGGTCAGATCTGGCAAGATCACCATGTGGTGTGACAGAGAGAGGAGTGAGGTTGACACCAAGCTGCAGTGAGTGAAGAAGAGGGAGTCTCTGCTTCTGCTCTAGGAACCAGGGAACTTGGATTCAAGTCTCAGCTCCGTCACCCACTTGTTCGGTGACCTTGGGCAGGTCCCTTCCCTTCTCTCGGCCTCAGTGTCTTCTCCTATACCATGGGTACAATCCCGCTTGTCCTCGCCCCCTCCCCAAGCCCCAGTGCTCTGAAGAGGACACGTGCCTCACAGACCTGCCCCTGTCCACAGGGCGCCACACCAGCAGCCGCCATGGCATCGCGCATCGGGCTGCGCATGCAGCTCATGCGGGAGCAGGCGCAGCAGGAGGAGCAGCGGGAGCGCATGCAGCAGCAGGCCGTCATGCATTATATGCAGCAGCAACAGCAGCAGCAGCAGCAACAGCTGGGGGGGCCGCCCACCCCGGCCATCAACACCCCCATCCACTTCCAGTCTCCGCCACCTGTGCCCGGGGAGGTGCTGAAGGTAAGGCCTGCTCAGGCCTGTTCCCTCCCACCAGAGGCCTCAGAAGTCCTAGAGCCCTTGCTTTCTCCCCCTCCCAGGTGCAGTCCTACCTGGAGAACCCTACTTCCTACCACCTGCAGCAGTCCCGGGACCAGAAGGTGCGGGAGTACCTGTCCGAGACCTATGGGAACAAGTTTGCTGCCCACATCAGCCCTGCCCAGGGCTCCCCGAAGCCTCTGCCAGCAGCCTCCCCAGGGGTGCGGGCTGGCCATGTGGTGTCCTCCTCAGCCGGCAACAGTGCGCCCAACAGCCCCATGGCCATGCTGCACATCGGCTCCAACCCTGAGAGGGAGGTGAGTGAGGAGCTGGTCAGTGGCTGCCACCAGCAGAGCTGGTGCCACGTGTTATGCTTCTGGGACTCCTGGTCTAATGGTGGACGCAAGGTGCTGCCCTCAGGGAGCCCCAGTGTGACGGGGAGACACAGCCCTGCCCTCAGGGGGCCCCAGTCTGAGGGGGTGATATCATCCCTACTTCTGAAAGCTCTGCTAGAGAGAAACAAACAGAGACTCATACAGGAAAGCCCAGCATACCTGCAAAGCCATGTCCAGACAGAAGGTATATAAAGCAATCTCCCTGGGCAACTTGGCTCTTTGGGAAGAGGCTCGGCCTGGGGCTTGAGGCCTGTGGGACCTGGAAAGCTCATCCTCTCTTTGAGCCTGTTTCCTTCTCCCCTAGAAGAGCAGATTGAGTGAGGTGGGTTCCTAGGCGCCTTCAGGTCAGTGGCTGTTCCAGTGCCCCTTCTCCACCCTTCCCCTGGCAGACTCTCCCTAGATGGACTTTTCTCTCTTTCAGTTTGATGTCATCGACAACATTATGTGTCTGGACGATGTCTTGGGCTTCATCAATACTGAATCTCAGATGCCCAATACGGTACTGCGGGCCACGGTGGGGTGGGTGTGTCAGAGGGGAAGGGCAGAGGTCCTACCTGGCTCTGAGTCTGGAGAGAGGTAGAGACTACGTCCTCAGCTGTAGAGGCAAGAGTTGCTTCCATCACATCATGTAATGAGGGCCCAGAGCCCAGCAGAATTATGAATCCAGAGAGATGTGCCTCAGCCTGCATGCATGATGGGGTTTCAGCAAAGATTGGTGGCTGGGCAATCACGGAAGGCTTCCTGGGTGGGGTGGTGGCAGGAGGCACTGGTGCTGGGCCTAAGCAGAGGGGAGGTGGGAAGACCATTTCTGGAAGGGAACGGTGTGGCCACAGGAAGGCCTAGAGCTGGTGAGTTCCTTTGGAATCTGGGGCTCCCTTCCTCTATTGAGCCTAGGGCCCAGCAGACATAGGCCTGTGTCCCTTACTCTGTGGGGCAAGTGACATGAGGCTGGCTTTGTCTTTTTCCTCCAGCAGCCTCTTGGCAGTGTGACCCCTCTCTGGGCCTTCTGGGCAGAGGGGAGGTGGCTGGTGGGAAGGAGCCAGGATTGGAATCAAGAGGCCTGGCTTCTGGCTTTGGCTATGACCTTGGGAAGTTTCTTAACTGTTCTGAGCCCCAGTTTTCTGAACTGCAAAATAAGGATGATAACTTCTACCCACAGGACTGTGGATTGTGGGAAGATTAGATAAGGCAAGAGATGGGGGCTAGCTCCACACGAGGGTAACAGGTATTTTACATTGAGCAGGTGGAATTGCAGGTGTTTCCACCCCTTTTTTGGAGGTCCTGAACCTCAGCTCCTTGGGCCTGAGCCTGTTAACCAAGATCCTGGCCCCAGCCCATGCCACCAAGGGAAAGTCCTCAGTTCTTAAAGTGGGGAGTCAAGGAGTCAATCCTCAATCCCCACGGCCCTGGTGACATTGCCCAGTAGCTCAGCAGGAGCTGGCCAGGGCCATTTAGGTCTGAACCTACTGCCAGCAGGGGCATCGAGGGCCAGGAAGGAAGAGAGGGAAGGAGGCAGGGCACAAATGTGTGGTCCCTTTAGTAGTTTCTGTGTACCCCATAGGGCGCCTGTGTTCCATGCAGGGTTCTGGGCCTGTGATTTGCTCTGTGGCAGGAGTTGGGAAGATCTTTCCAGAGCTTACATCCGTTCCCGTCAGGCCCCTGCTTACACCGCCACTGGCTGCCCATCACAAAAAAAAATCCCAAGGTCTTTGCAAGTTGAACATGGCTCTCCAGAATCCAGCCTCACCTCCTGCCCAGCCTTCATCACACTCTGTGCTGCTTCTACAGCTTGAGCTGCTGTGACCACCACACTCTGTCCAGCCTTCATTCTTTGCTCAGCCCCCCACCCCCACCCCCGGAGTTTTCTTGCTTGGGACTCAAGTTCCACGCCCTCCAGGAAACCTTCCAGAACAGCCAGAATAGATTAGGTGACCCTCCCCTGGATTTGCTAATGCCAGAGGGTGTACATCCTCTCCAGCCCTAGCAACCTGGTTGATCACTCTTCTGTGGTTCCAGTGACTCTAGGCTGGAACTCTAAGGGGCTGCATCTTATTCAGCTCTGGACTCTGCAGACTTTCGGGTGGAATTGCTGGCTGAAGAGGCCCAGGGTGAATTCTCACATCCCTGGTGCTGGCTGCAGACCCCTTAAAGCTGAATCTGTGGCCCAGGAAACACCAGTATAACCTCCCCCAGGTGTCCCTGGGAATGGCTATTCCTGGGACGACGGGCCCTGGGGAGGGCGCCTCATGGAGATGGGGCTGCTCACCAGGTCCTTCTCCTTACCTCACTCCACAGCTGCCCCTGTCCAGCAGCCACCTGAACGTGTACAGTGGTGACCCCCAGGTCACAGCCTCCTTGGTGGGTGTCACCAGCAGCTCCTGCCCAGCCGACTTGACCCAGAAGCGTGAGCTTACAGGTACCACATTCCTGCCTCCCTGTGCCCTGGCCCCCTCCTTTCCCTCCTCCACTCCCTCCCAGCTCCTCTCTTTCTCTTCTGGCCTACAGATGCTGAGAGCCGGGCCCTGGCCAAGGAACGGCAGAAGAAGGACAATCACAACCTAAGTGAGTCCTCCCCACCCCACCCCTGCCCCCTGCTTCCTTCTCTACCCTCTCACCTGGACTAGCTGAAAGCCACCCTGACCTGCACAGGTTCTAGGAAGTCTTCTCTCCCCAAGTCTTTGGTGTGACAGGGCCAGTTTAGACTGCCCTCTCCTGGAAAGGGTGGGAGGGGGGCTCCAGGGAGGAGGTATTCATGAAATCCCCAGCACTTCGGAGTGAATGAGTTTATCAGATTGTTTTCTTTAGGGTGCGGAACCTGGGAATGCCAGAATAGATTAGGTGACCCTCTGGGAGGGAGTTCTGGGCAGTGTGTGTGTGTGTGTGTGTGTGTGTGTGTGTGTGTGTATGGGGCGGGGTGTCCCACCCCAGGCAGCTTTGCCTAACAGCCTGACCAGGGCTGACGTTGCCCCCCTTGCAGAGCCCTTACACCCTCACCCCATAGAAATCCCATTCCGTTGGTCACTCAATACTTCCCAGAAGGGCTAAGGCACCCCTTCTTGAGCTGGGCCCTTCTCCCCATTTGGGGTCCTCATGCCTCTAATTGTTTCCTCTGGAATTTTGTACCTTTAGTTGAAAGGAGACGGAGGTTCAACATCAACGACCGCATCAAGGAGTTGGGAATGCTGATCCCCAAGGCTAATGACCTGTGAGCAGCGTTTCTGGGGGAAGCATAGGGGCAGGAGCAACCAGCCCAGTATTGGTTGCCAGGGGGAAGGGAGGGAAGAGAATCCCTTAATTGCTGCCTTCTAAGAGCTTATCATCTGTTTGGGAAAAGAAGGTCCCTCCTTTGTCCAAATCAGGAAACTCAAGACAGATGAACAGAGGTCCCAAAAGTGAGGCTGGGGAGGGGGGCTTCCTGGAGGAGGAGTCATGCTGGGAAAGTGTGACGAGGACTTTGGACTGGTGTCCTTAGTCCACAGGTAGGAGTAGGGAGGGCCAAAGACAAGTATGGGTGTTGTTGGCAGAAATTGAAGGCCCAGGGAAGGAGGCTGTTCTGGATTGCTTGGTTCCATGGGATTAATGAAGTGGGTGGTGGCAATGAAGTCACCTGGGAGAGCCTATTCTGTGCACATGGAGATTAGCCTCCTGCACAAATAGGGGTTGGCTGGGTCTGGGGTTTGTGGGCTGGGACAGGAGACATTGGCTTCTGAAACCAAAGCAGAATTTCACTTCTACCCACCAAGCACATGGCAAATACTTGGCCACTCTGAACGTGCACCTCTGATTCTGCTGGCTTGCAGGGACGTGCGCTGGAACAAAGGCACCATTCTCAAGGCCTCTGTTGATTACATCCGGAGAATGCAGAAGGACCTGCAGAAGTCCCGGGAGCTTGAGAACCACTCTCGGCGCCTGGAGATGACCAACAAGCAGCTCTGGCTCCGCATCCAGGTTTGGCCTCTGCCCTTGGACTTCTTGGGTAGTTCTGACTCCTGACCCCCTGGCCTGGCCTCTTACCCCAAGGGCAGTGCTTACACTGAAGCTGTGGGAATGATGCCATAAGAAGGGAGGTTATATCAGTCAGGATGTTATGGTTTGATAACAAACATCCCCAGCAACTTTAAGCCCCAAATATTAGCTGGAAGTACTGTTCTGTAAGACCTTCATTCTGGGACCCAGGGTGATGGACAAGTACATCTTAAAACTATGTTATTCTTAAGGTGACACACGTCACTTCCCTTACATTTTCTTGATCAATGCAAGTACACGTGTACACCTAACCTCAAGGGAGCATAAAATCGCAAGTCTACCATGTGTGGGAAGCAGAGAGCTGGAACTATTTGGTTGATAGTACTAAGAATCACCATGGAGAGGGGGGTCAAACTAAAGAAGAAAGACTTGGAAGAGTCACTTGGAGCCATGGGTTCTAGTCCTGGCTCTGTGTTGAGGGCCTCTGTCCTCTTTGGATCTGAGGCTGGTCATCTATACAAAGGGCAATTGGACTGAAGCTTTTAAACTTTCCTATTTTATCTCTCTATTTTCTATTTCTCATAATAGATACTGTAATTTATATTATTATCCAGCACACACAGCCACACTCAGGGTGAAAAATCAAAGTTTCATCAAAGAACCCTCATCCTTAATAGATGCAATGCATTCTGGTAATTTATAGTCTAGTCTAGTCTAGGCTAGTCTATTTCAATTAAAGAAAATAGAGAGCTGGTCAAGACTCACTGCAGTTGTTTTGCAACCCACTAATGAGTTGTGACTTGTAGTTTGATAAAACACAGGTCTAGACTCTAGAGCTACCCTACGCTGAGATGTTTTGTGGTCTTGGGTACCACGAGGGGAGGAGCGAGGGGTGGGGGTGCAGGGAGGCAGCTGGTGTCCATGGATGTGCATCCTTAGCCCTCTATCTGCCCCACCCGCAGGAACTGGAGATGCAGGCTCGAGTGCATGGCCTCCCCACCACTTCGCCATCGGGAATGAACATGGCCGAGCTGGCCCAACAGGTGGTGAAGCAGGAGCTGCCCAGCGAAGAGGGCCCAGGGGAGGCCCTGTTGTTGAGGGCCGAGGTTCCCGACCCTGAGTCATTGCCAGCTCTGCCCCCCCAGGCCCCGCCACCCCCATGGACTTCAGTAACAGCCTGAGCTTTGGGGTCGGGGGCGATGAAGGGCCCCCAGGCTATCCCGAACCTCTGGGGCCAGAGCATGGCTCCATGTTCCCCAACCTGTCCAAGAAGGACCTGGACCTCATGCTCCTGGACAACTCACTGCTGCCACTGGCCTCCGACCCCCTCTTCTCCACCATGTCTCCTGAGGCCTCCAAGGCCAGCAGCCGCCGGAGCAGCTTCAGCATGGAAGAGGGCGATGTACTGTGACCCCGGCTGCCCCCACGCTGGGGAACAGGGGCAGGCTTTGGGGCTGGGAGGGCCGGGGCCACCTCCTTCTGCCCATTCAGGCTGCACTTGTGTGTGAAGTAGCCACCTGCCCTGCCTCACTCCTCCCTGTCAATCCCCTGTTTGGACTTAGCGCCCGCTTGGCAGCCTGTGGGGCCAGGAGAAGCCCCCCACCTGGCTCAGTACTCCCCAGGGCAGCCCTCTTGTTGGAGCTGGGTGGGAATAGGCCTTCAGCCTGGCTCCCGGGGGTGTGCTGGAGGTCAGAAGAGGTCCCAGGAGGGTCCTGTCTTCTGAACCTGATTCCCCCACACCCATCCCTGCCAATGAAGGACACATTGGAGCAGGGGTTTCAGGAAGTTCCTTTTCTGAGGCAGCAACTGGTCCGGGGGGTGCCCAGGCTCGCCTTCCTGGGACTTGGATAGCAACAAGCCTGTCCTCCAGCCTGGCTGCCCCCCTCACACAGGCGGGGCATTCCCACCCCCCTTTGGTGCTAACAGCTCTCCACCAGGTGGTGTGAGGGCGGGGGTGGCCGGCAGACGGGGCTCTGGGTTCAAGTTAGAGTGCGGGGTCACTGCTGGAATCGCAGCTCCCCTCCAGGCTCCCTACTTTGTGCCTTTAGTAAACACTGTGCTTTGTACCTGCTTGTCCTGTCTCTTTGGAGTGGGTCTGGGGCTGATGGAGAACAGAAGAGGATTCGACCCGGTGGATTCCTTTCTGGATTCAGAGTTCGAATGCCCCCAGTGGGGCTTCAGGGTAGCGGGACACAGAGAGGATGGAACAAGCCATCACCTGGTTCCCCGCAGTTCCCCAGCTGTGCCCAATGGAAAGCTGGCAGTGTAGCTAGCCTTACTCAAGGGCTTGAGTGCTGATGGGGGCACTGTTCCTCCTTACAGCCACGAGATGGCGCTGCAGTCTTGGTCTCTTACCTCCAGCTATGGCTTGAGCCTACTGAGCAGGATGATGGGGGTGGTGGTGCGGG